TCATCTTCTTCTTTTTTGGCGTAAACACTGAGGAAGTTCATGCCATTTACCTGACCTTATAATATGTATATGATATATAGTAGATGATCAGAATAAGGAGCTGAGTCGATTTAGCTATGTCCGTCTCTCAATCTGTTTATATACTGACAGCTGCGTACTAATCTCTGAGCGATTGAGTTGGCGATCTGAAATTTTGTACTTCCAATTTTCTCACCAAGAAGCTGTTCGTTTGGACATAAAGTGTATGTATGGAGCGCTTTTTTATGCGACTAGATATCTTCAAGAAATTTGCATGGGTTATTGGCTGCAGCAATGGTGCCACCTTGTCTCCGAAAAAACGATTTAGAATGGATTGTTATAGAATATAGATGCCATACAAACCTTATGATCGGAATCAAGAGTTTTTATGAAAAATGTTTGTGGCCGAGATGTCTTCTCGAAATTTAGCAGGGTTATTTTTTAAGTCAGTAAGCAATTTCCGTGGAAAGTGTTCAGATCGGATTATTATAGTACATAACAGTCATACAAGCTGAACGATTGGAAACAAGTGTTTGTATGAAACCTTTTATATTTGTGAGGTTCAGTGCAACCGAATTAAAAAAAAAAGTCTTAAAAAAACAGAAAGAACTTTTTTGTGACAGAATCAATAAGGAAATAAGTACATTTGCGTTTACATGGAAAGTGTCTGAAGTATTTAAAATATAATTTGTATCGAAATTTGTTTTGCCTTTTATTATTTATATTAGTTCAAGCATATTATTTACAGTTACTGTTTCGATTCTCTGCCTCAGTAGTTGCGGTTATGTGAATTAGTAGATGTATTCATTAGCAGATCCTTCCATAACTGTAAGTGTACATAATATATCTGAGCATATTTACACACACAATTTAGATACATACTTATACACAGTATAATTGCACATGTGTGCCTATGCACATTAAAAGGTATTATTTTACATAAACACACACACATACTCTTATAAGTACAAGTCACGGTGAATATCCTTTTCATTCGTTGTTCTGGTGCATTAAATGATCAAATTTATAGTTTTATTTACAGTAGTATTACGCAGCTGTCAGAAAGTGTTTTATAGGTCATTTTGCAACTATATATTGCACAAATTTTCTTACGCCATATAAACAACTGCAGCAATAAAAAATAAATTTGTAATTCAAGTTGATTTGTGCAGATGTGCTGTCTGTTTGTTTGCAAATCTTAAGCTGCAAGGACAATTAAGAAAACGGCATAAGCATTCAATTTAAGGCATTTATAAGCACAAAAGTCAACCACAACTAAGTTATATTTCATGTTTGCAAATAAAATCATTTGCTAGAAGCTGTTGACGAAGTCTCCTTAAATCATACATTCTTATAATGGTATTCACCACAAAAACCATTGTTGAAAATTATTGCTTTTAATTAAAGAAGAGCACTTTTTGAAGTATGCAAAGTTACAATTGAGCACATTAAAGTCTAACTATAATTTCCGTTTGCATAAATCACAAACTTATGAGGCTGGTGTGAGAAGCTATTTGTATTTGAATGATTGCCAATGATTTGACAATATACAGATTTAATTAATTGAAATTTAACAATAAATTTTAAAGACTTAAAATATTGTTTAAAACAAATTCATTGAAATATTTAATATATGTTCGTAGACTAAACTGGGAGCCAAATGTGTTACATACTATGGCAGTGTGAATTTTGTTTGTTGTCTGGCCAACATTTCACACACAACCAGATGGGAGTGAGGAGTAAGTTTTATTGTGGTTAATATGAACTCATACCCACTTCAATAATTTATTTGCAAACTTTTCTGAATCAATTTGGAGTTCACAAAGAAGAAATTCTTCTAGATTTAAGGGGGGAGCCTGATTTAGAAGCTTCAAAAATCGATTTCTTTGCTTAAATCTTTAAAAATATCTTTAAAAATATCTAAGAATTTGTCCCCAAAGTCATAGATGAAAATTCGAAATATTTTCGAAGCTATAAGGAAAGTAGTGACCGAGCGTCTAGCACATATATGAGCGATTGGGCAGAAAGCGAAAACTTTGACGCGCGATTTCTCGGTTGTTCATTTTTACGATTTTACTGAATTGGCGGGCAAGATAGAAAAAAGAAACTGAACGTCTGATTGAATTGGGGCAAAATTTATAACCTTTGGCGTTAACTTATTTTCTATTTAAAATAAAAAAACTAAGAATAGTCATGTATGAACATACTTTTAAACAACATAAAGTGGAAAAATTTTGCCAAAAAACCATTTTATTTTCAAGTTTTAAAAAATTTTAGAATTTTTCACTTTTTTTAGAACTTTTTTAGTTTAACTCGAGGATTTGTTATTTAAAAATATGTTTCTGTCCTTCCTAAAGACATTAAAAAAAAAAAACCTTTTTTGAAGCTTCTAAATCGTGGAGCCCTTAATCTCTGTTTTACCTCGTGTAGTACGAAATGGGTTTCAAAACAAAAAAACTTTATTATTAATTGCAGGAATATAACATAGTCCAATGGTAACATATACATATGTACAATAAGTTTGCTGCAGCTGGAGATTCTAGTTCAATATTTCAGAAAAAAATGATAACACAAGTTAACTTCGGTTGTACTGAAGCTTTAATACCTTTTCCACGGGTATTTCTCATATCGTAATTGGTCAGCGAAAATAGTAGCAATACCTATGCGATAGTAGTTCAATTAAAACAACTTTTTCGAAATTTTTAGTATTGACTTGAACAATATGAAGAATTGCGCAAATAACTTTATTTTGATCGTTGATCGTGAAGAAGATTATGATTGGCCAGTTTGTAAGGTAGCAGTATGCTATAGTGGACCAGTCAGTAGTTCTGATAAATGAGCAGCTTCTTAAAGAAAATAATGTGTGCAAATATCTTATCGATTTCTCAAACACTTAGGGACTAATTCGCATATACGAGTTTACGAGACAGGCATATAGACGATAAAGATATTTTATATACATACTTTAGGGTTTCTGACGATTTTTCCAGGGTTTTACAAATTGAAAATACCCTCTTCGGGTATAAAAACACAGTACCTCATCTTTAAAATAACCACTATATTTTTATATATGATATTCATCTTAAATATAGTCGATTAGTTTATTTGACATTAACTTGAATATGCTTCGTAGGGTTTCGTATTTTCTTCGATTCCGAATTTCACATCACTTTCGCTTTAGATTTCTGTTTATTAGTTTATAAGTTAATATGCAGCTGTGATAGATTAAATAAAATTGCTTTTGATATATGTAAAAAAAACCTATGTGATTATGTTTGTTAAAAAGTCAAAATATGATGAAGTAAAAGGCGTGCTTATGGATTTCTAACGTAAGTAACCAATTACATAATTACGAATTCACCCAATTTCGATCTGTTAATTCATCCATTGGAAGGGAAATTGTTCTAGGTAGAAATAAAAACTAAGGGGAAAAATCTACATCTCTGTACGATAGAGGATAAAAACTGCAATAGAACGTGGGTTCAGTAACCTTTTCGGAGTTGGCCTTTTATAACAAATAATATTTTTTTGTACTCAATTTGGTGTATCATTTAATAATGAACAAACTTACTTCGGAAAAACATTTGCAAATCTTGTAAATTTGTTATCGAAACAATTGTTCGGATTGCGCGACTCATCTCTGCGTCAAATATACGGTCGAAATAATCGCTCAGGAGAGGTAGTAATTCCACCAAACATGGATCGATTTCTCAAATATACTCTAGTCGATAATGCGCAACCTAAGAGAGGCCGAGTGCACGGAAAACGCTTATGCTGCTGTAAACTTGAGTATCGAAGAAAACCCGAAGGAGCCAATATTTTAGTCACTGTTTGGTGAGCAGAAAAATTCCAATATTTTTTTTTTTTTCAAAAATCAAACCGAGAGCCAACTGGTGGATGTTGATGTGATTTATCTATGGTTCCTACAAGACGATCCATCTATTCATTGTTAGTATAGGATACCGCAGGAAGTGTTCATGTTGTCCTTTAGTTAAGAATATGTTGAATATATTTTAAGCCACCTCTGACAACTGGTTGATTTTCAAGATACATGTTTTTCACTTAAAAAAAAAAGAAAAACAAAAAAAAAAAAACTTGACTACTTGAAATGTCTATAAAGGCATGGCACTTATTGCAAATCATTTTTGTGGTTTATATTCTGATATTTACTGATTTTGAATGCGAATTATATTGGAATATTCTTAATTTCTCACTACTCTATAATTTACTTATATTCTTGACCATACTAACACCGATGGGTCAAAATACATAAAGGAGTATGAAGTAAATTATTGTGTAAAGTTGAAAGTAAAACTTTTTTAGTAAAGATCTGAAGTCTTTACCGGCAAAAAGAGGTCAACAGACTTAATGTACCGAACTACATTCATTAGCTAACGGTTAAACAGGAGATAAAGAAGACACAGTTATTTCTTAACATTTCTAATTCAATTTTCTTTCATTAAAACCGTTAAAAATATTCAAGAGAAACGTAGTAAGTTCTTTCTCTTCATTTCATCAATACACTACAAATTCGTGCACAATGCACATACAAGTATATTTCATTAAGTATATGCAGCCATGGTACGTGAGCATCCAATATCTGCGACGACTACTATTATATTGCACCCAAAAGACTACGCTAAGGTCAGTTGCGTTCACTTCTTCACTTACTGCTACAATCGCATACATAAATATTACCACCCACCGAACGGGAGTGGACGTGCTCTGCACTTGAGAGTGCAAAATAATTTATTGCAACGCTAGGCCCTGAGCAGGCACACATACCGACATGCAACACACACACTAACAAAGTATATAGTAATGTGCTCTGACAGCAGATGCCCCACACTTTTGGTACAGCCATATACATGTATATGTATGTATATATAATATAAACGTGGTATACCCTCTCGTATGCTGGAGCCTTATATCGTCCGTTATACTTATAAAGCTTAGAATGTATGAGCAATGCAGCTACTTACCCGATACTGGCCCAAGTTGTTGACCACGCACGTGAATGAGACATCGCGCCCTTGCGGCACTGAAAAGTTGGTCAATTGCGCCAAGAACTCCGGCTCCGGCTCATCTGGTTGATTATGGCCTGCAAATGGAAGTGACGACAGCCCGTTTGGTTAGTTGCTTGGTTGAATGGATTGTGAACGTGAGAATTATATGGAGCATTGTATGTTAAATGCATTCGAATGTGTATATGTGTGAGTATAAGTGTATATGTATGTGTGTGTGTGTGTATTTCGTGGTGTCAACTGAAAATGGAGGGTTAAGTGCGCAAAGCACATGTGTGGCACAAATAAATTTGCTGACAACAGTGGATGATAAACTACAACAACAATGGCTGCATAATTCTCATATCTAATGCACTTTGCAAGCGCTCAATTACGCTGCATTCAAGCGTTGAAGCTTTAAAGTGGAAATATTTCCCATTAAATGTCCTTGTACGGCTGGTGAGTGCACTTTGCCATATTTGCAGTTTTTGTGAAAATTGGCTTATGTATATCTTTTTTACGCAGTTTCACGTGTATCTCAAGAAAATAGAAATAAGGTAATCGCTTTCTATACAGACAGGTGAATGATCGACGAACTTGCAGGTGGTGCAGTAATTTTCGTATTACTATGAGATTTTTAATTGTTTGTGAACTAAAAAGATATACATACGTGATTTATACTCATATATAAGTATGTTTTTAATTAAGCTCCTTATTTTTCGTTCATCTTCGATATATTTGGATGAGATGGTTAATACGAGTTCAATTGTGAAAATGCCTTAATAAAGACCTTTTGTACTATCTGCAACGTCATCCGATTTTGAGACTTTAAATCGTATCATTGTGATATTGTGCTCACTGTAGAGCGAGCCAGAGAGAAGTTGAAAATTTTTTTTATATTATACTTGCTCCCAGAAGCAAAAAGTACTGAAAATTGTAAATTTCCTATTCAAGGGAGAAAGTTAATTCTTCTCGTAGTTTTTAGAGTGGCCCGGTGTCCTGGCACAAAGTTTTCCATATTTCTTCTTCAAAAATTCACAACAATCGTTCAAGAGTTATTTTTTTACGCTCCTGTGCCAACGGCTTGTGATGAACGGAAGCGTCGTTCGATCTGAGCAATATATATGTACAGAGACAGTAGCGGGAGACCTGCTTCAGTTAGTACTACTTTGGTTGATGAGATGGGGAATGCGCGAATGTTTCTTCTTGCCGCTATGTGGTAAGGGGTTTCAATAAGTGTGAGGTGCTTTTTTGCACAATGTCCGTAAATTGCGAGTCCATAATCTATTTTTGACAACATCAGTGCTTTTGTGATATTTACAAGTGTTGAGATGTGTATGTGGCAGTGTTTTGATGAAAGAAACCTAATAATGTCTAATCTATTGAGTATGCTTAATCTAACTTATTTACAATATTCCTTAAATATTAGCTTTTTATCAAATAATGTACCAAGTATTCTTAGGATGTTAGTATGTGGGATTTGAGTATTTTCAAGGGAAAGGTTAGGGAAAGTGCAATTTCTTTTTCTGCAGATGTGAAATGTTGAACTTTTGCTTGCAGAAACTTTGGTTCCTTTCGCTTTAGACCATTCCATTATGTCGGTCGGAATATTAGTAAAATTGATTTCGACTTCATTCCAGTTTTTTAAAGCCGAGAATATTAATACATCGTCAGCGTAGATAAGGTAGTCAACGCTGCGGTATGAGGCTGTTAAGTTGCTGAGTTGATTAAAGGTTATAATAAATAACGTTGCCGTTATTAATTGGGAAAATATTAGAGTTGAAGTTGCTAACACTTACTGAAAATTTACGATTTGAAAGAAATGCCTTTATAAAATTATACATTTTGTTTTCAGTGTCCCATTTTTGTAGTTCTTGTGGTACTGTATGGGCTTCGATTCTATCGAAAGCTTTTTCAAAGTCTAGGCTCAGGACGGATAAGTGGTTTTTCGCAGACATTGTTGAAGAGGCGCAATGTTCAAAGTAAAGTAGGGGGTCAAGACCACTTTGAAAAGCGAACTGATTGGGGCTTATTAAATTCTTTTTTGGCATACCACATTATCCTCTTTGAAATGGTTTTTTCCAGAACTCTTGCCATACAAAAGTAGAAATCAAAGAAATTGGTCTGAAGTCAGTGATTGAGGTATTTGATTTGGTAGGTTTGGGGAGAGGGATAATAACAGCTTTTTTCCACTCCTGCGGCAGTATGCCTTGTTCTATTATGTTATTGTATAAAGTTATCAATCTGACTTTTAAGGAGTGTGGGAGGTTTTTTTAATAGGGGGTAAGAAATTTTGTCTGATCCATGTGTTTTTCCGGACATTATGCTGATAGTAAAATCAAATTCTTCAGTTGCAATGGGAGATTCTATGAATGTGGCTGCAAAACACGGTGATGAGTTGCAGTAAATTTATGAAATTACTTCGTTTGAAAGAGTGATAGAATTAGAGTGGAAGTTTGAATTTTTGGAATAGCTTAACCATACTTTCATAAATAGGTCCTAACGGTGATTGGATAAAGTCAATTATCAAGTCAAGTGGGTATTATACTAGCTGTTAATTTTTCAAAAGTTTTTCTTTTTGCGGATTTAAGTTCTCTCCTAAAATTGGAATTTGCTTTTTATACTCTCGCAACAAAGTTGCTAAAGAGAGTATTATAGTTTGGTTCACATAACGGTTGTTAAAGCAGTTAAAATCCGGATGTCTGTCTGTCCGTCCGTCCATGCAAGCTGTAACTGGAGTAAAAATTGAGATATCATGATGAAACTTGGTTCACGTATTTCCTGGCTCCACTGCCACGCCCACAAAATGGCGGAAACCGAAAACCTATAAATTGTCATAACTAAGCCATAAATAAAGATATTAAAATGAAATTTGGCACGAAGGATCGCATTAGGGAGGGACATATTTGGACGTAATATTTTTGGAAAAGTGGGCGTGGCCCCGCCCCCTACTAACTTTTTTGTACATATCTCGAAAACTACTATAGCTATGTCAACCAAACTGTATAGAGTCGTTTCTTATAGGTATTTCTATACACAATTGAAAAATGGAAGAAATCGGATAATAACCACGCCCACCTCCCATACAAAGGTTATGATGAAAATCACTAAAAGTGTGTTAACCGACTAACAAAAACATCAGAAACACTAAATTTCACGGAAGAAATAGCAGAAAGAAGCTGCACCCAGGCCTTCTCTAAAAATTGAAAATGGGCGTGGCGTCGCCCACTTATGTGACACCCGAACTTAGCCCTTCGTTACTTGTTTATATTTAATTAAATTTCTGTTGTTCTGTTGGAATGGCTAGCTGGGCAGCGGAGCGTATATTTGTTTTTATATTCGACGCTTCTGCATTTAAATTCTTTTCCGTTAGTCTAGTGTAGGTAATTGTGTTAATCAGGGAGCAGTATTTAAGCCAATCGGCTTCTTCTATAAGATTGATCACGGTTTAATCGTATATTGCATCGGCGTACGATTGAATGATTTGAGTGTAGAGAAGTGGGTTGGTGATCGATCGTCTGTGAGATATAAACCAGAAATTCAGGGACATTCCTTCTCTGACAATGGAATGTCTGTATATCGAAACTGGGTTGAATCCGGCCAATACTTCTGATAGACCTTTAACCCAATATACATATTTTCAAATTTCCGGGTAAGTTTTCTCCGTACAGATAGATAATTAGTGAGTATGAAACTAGCTAGCGTATTTTACTCATAATAGTGTATATTTCTGCCAAAAATACAAGGATAAGTTTGAGCGAAAACTTGACCTAGCCCTTATATAACCAATATCAGGATCATAGTTTGCTATGTTGTGTATTTTATTTGCATTTTTTTTCAAATTCACGATATTAGCATGTGAAATAAAATAAGGAGACTTCGAGATTTATTTAAAAAATATACAATAATAAGTAAAAAATGTAACTAGTTTTCATTCAGAAGCGATAATATTAATTATTTATTAGTTTAATATTTTGTTGAAAATCCCTCGTTATTTAAAATCGACCAACACCGCTTTGGAATAGTATCAACTAGGTTTTGGCAGACGGAAACTGGTATTGCATTCAATGAAACTTTAATAAGTTGGAAAAGCTTTTCGTTAACACTTGGACACTTTTCTATTAACGACGCTTTCGCCATACACCACAAATTTTTAATGGATTTTAGATCTAGTATTGACCCTAAGCCACTCTTTTGTACACGTGATTTTGGGGTCGTTGTCCTGCATAAATATCCACCTAAGTGGCATATTGTCTTCAGCGTACTGTAGCATAAATTCTTGTAGTAATGTAGTGTTGTCTTCATAGCCCGCTGTTCCTATGCAGCGACCCGAGACCAAAACATGTCTCCTTCGGACGACTTTCGACTTCTTAAACCGATGAAAATATTAGAAAAGAGAAGGAGATATTGCTTAAAAATCGTCAGTTATTCAGGTTAGTGTTAGAGAGATGAGAACAGGGTTTCGATTAATTTTGGTGGATATTTTGGGTATGAAACGTATTTTTGCTCGACTCGTCACAATAAAACCGATTTTTTTCCGAAAAGAGAACGATCATGACCGAATTTAAAGCCAAAAACGCAATAAATACCATTGATCAACCACCGCATTCACCAAATTTGGCTTCGTGGGACTTTTTTTGTTCTCCAAACTGAAATTGCAGCTCCATAGAACTAATTTTCAGTTGATCGAAGAGAGTAAACTAATTTCGCTGAAGGACCTGGAAGCCATCTCAAAAAGTATTTATTAAAAGGCTAAGAAAAATCGTTGACATAAATGTATTACATCCGGTGGTGATTACATTGAAGGCGGCAAAGCGAATATTGATGAATAATTAAATATTTTGCGTTTTATTTAAAATTTTCCGGATACTTGCTTGTCACAATATATACCTGTGCCCAAAAAATAAGCTGACATTGTATTTATTTTGAAAATTCTTTATTTATTCTTCCAAATCAATTTCATCCCCTTCAAAGTAATCCCCGCCCGATGCAATGCACTTATGCCAACGGATTTTCCAAACTTCGAAGCACTGGTTGTAGACACTTTCCGGGATGGCCTTCAGTTCCGTCTTCGCTGCGGCTTGAATCCCCGCTATCG